AAAATCTTGCTACTGCCGCCTGACGCGAATGCTGGTCCTGACCCCTATCCCCGGACATTTGAGCCATATGCTGCTGCGTGCCAGCATCTGGATGTGATGCATCGTTTATGAAAACTGGGAATTTTAAGAAATCATTTGAGCCAAGAAAATCAGACTGTTTGCTGTGGTAACTGTATCCCTCATTTAGAGTGTTTATTTCAGACAGTCACTGAAACTGACAGTCAGCTCCAAACATCCAGTGTTTCCGCTACATTCATTTAGCAGCAGCAGCATGCTAAATTATTGCCGCCGCCGCCGCCGCTCCTTCAAAACATTTACTTTGCAAATGCACCACCACCACTCTGAGACATCTGTGCACTTGCACAGCGCAACAGCCAGTGTAGTGAGGAGAGCAGCAGTGAGGGGAGGGGGGAGTGGGGGAAGGCTCCTATTGGAATTAACGTTATTCGTGGGATCTTGAAAGTGACATCATCACTGGAGCACCGGGTCAGAGTCTGTCGTCTTGAAGAATAGGGCAGCGAACCAGAGAAAAGAAAAAGGTAGATTTTATTAGCTGAAGATAACTTATAATAGATTTTACAAGTTAAATAGACAATCACAACATATTGATATTACAAAATATTGAAGCTTAAGTTAGTTTGGCCTGGCACCAACTCAGTGAATCGCTAAGTTGACGTGGGTAAAATAATTGATAATAGGGATGTCTCTCACCCCCTCCCCCCGCCACCCCCGTTGCTGAAAAAAATCCTAGACGAAACACTGACATCCCTCTGTTTTCTGTCTAAACTAGTCCATCCCCGGGGATGTGTTATGTATAGAGGAATAAGAAATCAAAGACAGTATATTAGAGGAGATGCAAAATCAGAGCACTGTAAATGCACTGTGTAATAAATATTAATGTAAGACAAACAATGCACACTGTATTTAGAAACATGCTTTATGGCAAAATACATGGAGCATAGTTTTGGCTGACCGCACGGAGGCACGCGTGTGCGCGGGGCCATGCGCGGGCACACAGGTACACACCTACAGGTTTCGATCCGCAAGTGTTGGAGATGAAGGCTTCCCAGCCAAACTGTGGTCCCATCGCAGGTGTTTTCGAAGTGGTCTCTGCACATGCGCAGCTTGCGCTGCTAATGGTGCTCACAGTATGAATGAGTAGTGGACAAAAACACGAATATAAACAGGAGAAATGTGGGAAAAATGCAAAAACGGCATCGTGGCTGTCTGCACATGACCCGCGCATGCGCAGCTCGCGCTGCTAATGGTGCTCACAGTATGACTGGGTAGTGGACAAAAACGCGAATATAAACAGTAGAAATGTGGGAAAAATGCAAAAACGGCATCGAGGCTGTCTGCACATGACAAAGATGAAAGCCTATGTGCAATAATAGTGATAATAGTAGGATAAAGCAGGGCAGATAGCCTTAACACCTGAATATTGGATCACTTCTTCTTGACCTCTAAAACTGCCTGAGGTAGCAGCATTTACAGCATCTGCCACCAGCTGCCACTCCACTGTATTTTTAGCCTTAGTAATGTCCATACTGAGTCCATCAAACAACATTGTCTTTCTTTTATCAACCTCCCCAAAAAGAACTTCAACTTCACATTGTGTGAAGTAGGCCTGTCATGATACCAGAATTTCAGTAGTTGATACCAATACCAGCGAATTTCCACGATTCTCGATACTCATCAGATACCACGATAAAAATCAAAAAACAGAAATTGAAACCCACTCACCTTGAATTCATGCACATTCGAGCTGTTGACAGTGACAACGTGTGTCGGCTTTGTCAAGTGTACCAAGCGTAGCACGAAGCTGGTATATGAGAGCAAAAAGACGGGGACCTCACATTTAAGAGGCACATGAAGAAGGCTTGCCATGGAAAGAAAGACGAGAGTCAGCCTTCAATGTCCACACTCGTATCCTTAGAAAAAAGTCGGGTTTAAACTGGGCCGGGCTCGGACAGAAAATGCACGTGTTCGGGTGGGGTGGGGCTGGATTTTTTGGGCCCGATCTAAGCTCTAGCACTTATAGAAGCCATTGTTTCTAGCAAAGATGATGGAGAACAGGTGTTCTTCTTTGGGGCTCGTCCTCGGCACAGACTGACGCATGTATACTGTCCCCATCAGATTCGACAGGAATCGACACGGCCCGTTGAGGGCAAAGTTGTATCCGGTACTTACGGTACTGAAAAAAATACAGCTACCGACGTATTTTTTGCGTGTTGGCATCGACTTGGTACCAAAGTATCAGTTCTCATGACAACCCTAGTGTGAAGTTTTGTTTTTTACCCTTTCTTGCTGTGTTTGCTGTGCTCTCCTTCATGCTGTTTCTTGTTAATGAATATTAATTCAGGGTGTTTCACTGGCCATTTATAGGCACCTATGGGTGGGGCGAGACGCTCGTTCACCTGCGCCACATTTCGAGTTGATTGTGATTTATAAAGGGAAACAGGTGTGGGAAATGTGTGCGCACTAGGGTTGGGCGATAATACGATAATAAGGTATCCCGCAGTATCTAAAAATAGCAACAGTATCAGTTTCATTACCGTCACCAAAAAAAATCTACTGCGCACATAGGCCTATAAAAAAAACAGCTGATATAATATTAAATATAATCTATTTAATGCCTAAATAATGAGTGTTTGTCCAGCACCTATGTATGTGTGGTTGAGTTTTCAATTTAATACTATTACAATTTAAAACTAATAGTAGGCTATAATGTTTCTCTTATAACTGCCCTTAACTGTTGTCGGGAGACAACATTTGATAAAGTTTTTGGATGTGACGTCGTCACGTGACAGCTCAGACATGAAAAAGAGAAATAAAGATGGAAAGCCACGCATCTAGCGAGTTGGTCCCAAAAAAACAAAAAAAACAACTTCACAACTTCTGCAAGCAGCAGCAGCAGGTCCAGTGGCCATCACAGTGGAGGAGGGAGAAGCGCAACCCGAACCAACCAGCACCGCGGCCAAAGTTGTCAATCCACTACGTGCCCTGCTCCAGTCGGAAAATGTAAACATGCTGGTTTTTCTGGCCAAAAACCTTGAACAGTTTTGAAGCATAGGATGCTGCTATAGTTATCATTATACTTTGTTCTTATTTCATTTTCAATGAGGAGTAGCCTCCTCTGACGGGCAAAACAGTTCAGACTTGGAGAGGGTGAACATTTCAAACTAAAGGTAGGCTCTAAAAACAAACCAATGAACAGATATTGGATGCTATAGAGCTGTGTTTTAATTTAATGATTTGTGTCGATTACTGTACTGGAAGTGGACTGTAGCCACAGACAATTTGTTGTAATTTCATTCTGTTTGGCTGACTGCTGTTTGCACTTTTTTAAATATTTATTAATTAAAGTTGTTAATGTTGTACATGTTTTGGTGTTATTTTTCAGTATTCTTAGGCCTATGTAATGTTTGCTATTCTGTTTCTGAACGGTATAGGCACAAGCTGACATTTTGGCGACTCCCTCTGAGCCCCACAAAGTGATTTTTTATTAGTCACTGTAATACTGTATACCCCAGGAAAATGTGGGGAAGGTTTAACAGTAACAAAATTTGGATACCACCCAACTCTAGTGTGCACTGTGTTATAAATCAGGATATTTTTGTGTGTAAGCCCCTGGAGAGGTAGAGCCATCCTGTGCTGAGAAAATGTGTTGTCATATGGACTTTGGTGAAACTTAACAGCTGAAATAATAACTCATCAGAACATTAATCAACAATTCTGATAATTACTTACTCTTTAAAAAGATTTATGGAGTAAAAATGTCACATATTTCTTGGTTACAGCTTTGCTGCTTTTCTCCAACTTACAAAAATGAAACTGATACTTGTGCATTAGTGTCCGAGTTATACTAAGGTTTTTGGTGAATCCTGATTATGTGTTAGCACAGGTAAACAAGTTGGGTTGAGAAACCTGAATATGTCAACTAGAGTACTCCTGTTGAAACCATATATTTAACCATGTATGTTTGGACACAAGTTGTTTACTGTCAGTACACACATTTAACCAGAGAGCAGCCCAACCCGGTTTCCCCACTGAGATTTTACAAGGCTAGATTCAAAGTCATGCCTTTCACTTGAGTTACAAAGCCTCATCTCTAACCTCCATGCTGGTGCCTTTTCCCCTTACCTAAACAAAACACACCTGGCCTCAGGTTTGTTCAGCACACCAACACCACGTGCTTTGCAGAGGGAAACATGATGAGCCAGGAACTGCATGAGACGGCCTGAATAAACACTCTGTCACAGCAGAAACCAGGAAGCGTGGCCACGTTACAGCTAGGAAATGTATGTATTTCAGTCCTGAGACATTTAGAATCGCTGCTACCATATACAGCTGAAAATGTCATGTGATATAAATAACTTTATAGCTTCCTGACTTCACCATCGAAACTTCATCTCATGTTTTACGGGGGTCAGAGCTGTAATCTCACCAGACCAATGGTTTCTGCTGCATCTTGATCAAAGTTTCCAGATCCCAGCAATAAATCCAAACTCAAACTAATCTAACCCAGCCAGAGCAACAGACCTAACAGTCAATTTATACTTGAAATCATTCTTTTTGTCCTTCACGACTGCACTGTTTGCTGAGACGGAGAAGAGCATCTGAAACTTTCGCCGTGGACGATACTGGAGTTTACTGTAGGGACTGAAAGGTGATTTCCTCTTTATAGTCCATTCTTAATGTAACGTCATATCATGTCGAACAGCCACTAAAAAACATAACAAAAACACTCCAGTTAGGCCATCAATAATGTACATTACGACAAAGTCGACAGAGATTAGGTTTCTCGATAGACAAACCTTGAACGTCGCCACACATTGCTGGAAACAATACATCGGTTCAATGACAGGCTAAGCCGAGCTTCCTCCTCATTGTAACGACAGCTAGCTAGACCACAGCGCGGTGGAATCACTCGTTCAGACGTCGGTCGGTCTCGTGCTCGCACAAATCCGCCAAATACTCCATTCTTCTCATGAGCTTACCTCGTGAGGGAAAGTCGACGGTTTTTGTCTTTGTTTCTGCGTTCATGTCCTCGACTTCCTTGTGTTAAAGCTAGCCACTGTCACCCCGAAGCCACTCAAACACACACAGCTGGCCAGGTCGCAGCGCACGTTCCTCTTCGCTGCTGTGACGTCACCCCCGGCTCTTGCTGCCGTTCAGATGATTGTTTGATCTTTGACCGGAGTCTCTGCCTGCGATCCACTACAGTCAGATAACTCCTCTGTTACTGGGAGTTTGATAGACAGTAACATCATTTGTAGTATTCACGGATTTAGCCACCTCTGGCACCACACTGGACAGCATTTAGGGACTGTTCCTTACTTATGAGGGGGGAGGAGGTGGCGCAAAAAAGGGGAAGTCATGTTAAATAATTTTGTAAACCTGCTGGTTCGCAGGTTTGCTTCATCTAAGCCTGAGGCTGATCGTGTAGCAGGTAGGAGAAACATGGCGTTTCCTTTTGTGAATAAAGTTGTGGACTTTGAGGCACAGTTTATTCAGAGGCTGTTGCATAAGGAGAAGGTGATTAGACTCAGTTTGGATGTATCGAGGAGTGTCTGTATGAAAGACACAATTTCACCTCACACTCTCAATTGTTAAGGTAATCATTTACCTTAATCTGTATCAAATATTACACATTGCGAATTTACATTATCATTGGAGCAAATTTTATGCATTGCCCTTTGATTCTTCGGCAGTGGCAGTTTTCTTTATAACATCGGGGACACTGAACACGTAAGGGACCCTATGTCAACATCTAGTTTTAATGAGACCTTTATTATTCCAGATGATATATTTACATTGTGCATTTTCTTTAATCAATATGTGTTATCATGTGAGAATGAACATGATGCTGGGATCTAAGCCTTAACACATGGCAACATTTGTTGTGATCTAACCTCGTAACAGATCTCCAATTCAAGTATCAAAATGGCTATCGGAAATAATTAACTATCAATAATAATTAATTATGTTAAAAAATGAGACTTAATTTACGTTAAATCACCTCGTGAGACACCTTCAAAAGGGGGGAAAAAGTATAGCCAGTCAATGATATCAGTCTGATAAAATACACTAAACTATCAACTTGGAATTCTACTCAATAATTAAGTTAGCAACTATAACCAAAGTTGACAAATTAATAGTAAAGGCTGAAGGATTTTGGAGTTCTTGACATAGCAGAGATTGACTATTCATTCACTCTTGTGCAATATCAAACAGACAGCATTTATGACTCCAAATATATTTATTCATAAAGAAAGCAAAGCAACAGAACACACACATTCTAACTGACTAACTATATATAAGCATGGGTGTGTATATGTGTGTGTGGGTGTGTGTATGCAAAAGAGAGAGACAAAAGGTGGATGTGTGAAACAAAAGGCTATCTGGCCTACAAAACAAAATGGCTGACAAGAGAGAACTACAAGATGGCCGAATCTTAGAAGAGTTTGAATACTTGGGTGTGATGCTGGACTCTACTCTGTCTTTTAGAAGCCACATTAAAATGGTAACAAAGATGGTCAAATTCAACCTGTATAACTTCAGGCAACTACGGAGGTTACTAACTGATAGCGCTGCTATGTTGTTCTTGCATTCTATGGTTTTTTCCCATCTGAGTTACTGTCTAACTAGTTGGTCAATGACAGCTACGACAACACTGAAACCAATCGAATCTCTATACAAAAAAGCACTGAAAATACTGGGTAAGAAGCCATTCTCGTATCATCACTGTAATATTTTATCTCAATATAGTCTGCTAAGTTTTGAAAATTTTAAAAAATTGAAATCAGCGTGTTTGATGTACAAAGTATTGCATGGATTGGCACCACCCCCACTTCACGACTTCATTACACTTAGGCCAATCACTACCCGGGTAACAAGGGCCGTAACAAACAGGGAGTGTGTGGTACCCCTCAGAAAAACATCCTTTGGTCAGAATGTCCTGTCGTACAAAGGAAGCTCTTTGTGGAACAGCCTGCCAATCTCCATAAGGGAATGTGCTAGCCTAGCCACTTTTAAGGGTCATCTAAAGGTGTGGCTCAAAGCTAACCAGTTATGTGACCATGCTTAACTGTACTGTTGAATAGGGTTATGTGCAACAGGGTTGGTGCAATATAATAGGGCTATGTGCAATATAATGCAATGTGCAATACAATGAAATTTCAATTTTCATCCTCTTTTTAATTTCTATGGTCACTCCTGATCTAGTTCCTCAGTCACTCCTGGCGTATTCGAATGTTTTCTACTGTTTACTACTTACTATGTGTATATTTATACTGTTTCTCCATGTTTCTCCTGTATCTCGTGTGCTATTTATGCATTTTGGTTTTATGTTACTAATGTAGCAACAACCTGCCTAGGGACAACAGATGGAAATTAGCCGTGGGCTACAATCTGGCATATTTACATGTATTACTGTACTATGTTTATTAATATGTACTGTCCCTACCTTAAATAAATAAATTGTAATTGTAATTGTAAATGAATCACAGATGGGTTCAGACAAGGGGAGGTTTTGTCTGGCCGTGTGGTTGGTTGGTTCTCCTTGTTGGAAAGTTAGTTGCAAACCTTGTGTTTGGCACACTAACGTCTCTGGTCTCCAGGTTCTGCTCCTGTTGTGGGCATGCAGGGGTGTGAAAATAGGGGAAGGGCATGGCAGGTCCTCCTGCCTACGTCCTACCTCGATCGTGGTCCAGGAGAAAGAGCAGCAAGAGTCTGAGTCAGAGTCAGTTGGCGGCTCAGGAGAAAGAACAAAAAGTCTGAGTAAGAGGGACGGTCAGCAGCTCAGGAGAAAGAACAGCAAGAAGGCAAGTGCTCCCTTCAATGGTTCAGGGAGAAAAGAAAGAACAAAAAACACGCGGTTCTGGCCACCAATTCAGATGGCAAGGCCCAGAGAAGAAACCTTTACATGTCCAGTTTAGATCTTAACAAATGATAGATTATCTATGGTCCATTGACTCCCAGCAATGAGATTATGTGACATTCCAACAAAAGAACACTGAACACAGTAAACAGAGAGGGGGAAAACAGGAGGTCATTAGCATCTGATTTTTGCCCAAGGACCCCCATGTAGAGTAATGCACCCATGAGTACAAAATATGTCTTTGCTAAAAAAAAAAGTGCACAGACAACAGTCTCCAAATAATGTGCCTTTAAAATGCCGTATTTCATTATAATAAAATAATGACATTTCATATCTGAACGTCAAAGGTCAACTTCACTGGACATCATAATGTTCTCCAAAAACACTTTTCTGGACATTATTCAACATCATATCCAAGGAACAGAGGGGCATACATTTGGTCAGATACTGTATTAGTGACACTAATCCTGGGTGTCCACCTTTATACTGATTGTTTAGATCTTTGCTGCCTGGGGGAAGATGTGTGTTCAGCATCCATGTTCTCACAGACATGGATGTAAACTGTAAGTGCAACTTGATGGGTTCGCAGAGGCATAGAAGCATGCAGAGGTAATTCTATTTTTTTTTTTTTTGTCACTATCAGTGAGAAGTTTGTATATTTTAGCTCTTTCCTCTCCAAGTCATAACTGTTGAACATAAGACTGAATATTTTTCCTGGAATTTGAGGAAGTAGCCTATGTGTCCCTATTTTTTTTTTTTCGTTGTGTCTGCAGCCAACCCAATCATTTATTTAACCCTACTAAAGTAATTTACTAGGTTTAAACTAGCATAGGCCTAAAGATAAAGATATCTGCATACATCTGCAGACATCTGTTTATAGAGGTTGGTTCTTCTATCCTTGCTTAAGGAGGGTCTTTTTGTACAAATCATTACTGCATACCAAGTAATACTAATGCAAGTTTAAAATTAGGTTCTTAAAATAAATGTTTCAGAAATGTACTGATCCCCAAATGGTTATGCTATAAAAGCTCTAATCCTTGGATCCATACAAAGTTTAACTTCTCTGTTGGATATCAGCCTGTGAGAATCTATGGTGGCTTTCAATTTCTGCTTTTGGAGGTTAGTTCAATTGGTGGAGATAAAATCAGACAGAAAAGTTTAGAGCTCTTTTTGCTCTTCATGCTCTGTTTTTTCTGAAATTGCACTTAAAGCTCACCAGAACACTGGACACACTAAAGAAGCTTGGAAAGACTGACTCCAGTATATTCAGATCTAAAGCCACTACATTCTACACTTCAGAGCATCAGCTAAGGGATGTGATCTATGGACAAAGCAAGATAAATGAAAATGAAATGCATATACATGTATGATCAAAGTGGGTGTGCCTATCCTTGTAGCTGCTGTTGTCAAAATGAGCTCATGTACGTGTTACAGCCGTGGCAAGGAGAGGTATCTTGCCTTGTAAAGCTCCACTAGATGACAGAAACTGATTATTGAATGTGATCTTCCTGTAAGGCTGGGACATGCATTTTGCATGAAAGACCACAATCAGTTCATCATACAATACCACGTGACAAAGGAGTATGGCAGACTGAGTCGTGTGGCATCCACATACCAGAGGAATTGATTAATATATACCTCTGATCTCTTAAAAGTTTAGCGTGCAAACTAAGGGAATTAATTTTTAAACCCAAGTTGATTTCATGTCAAGTGAAACACGCACCCGTGAGACAAGACAGACGGAGAAACGCAAGGCTCTGTGGCGTTCAATTAAGCAAAGCATGGGGGACAACGAGACAGAGGAACCATCTGCTTGGGCCAAAGAACTCCTGGCACAAGTTACGAACATTAGAGATTCCTTCCAAACAAAGACTGATGATGTGAAAACCACAATGAAGGACATCAAAAAAGATACATGAGCCATGGCTATCAGAAGGGAAAACGCTGAGACACACATCAGTTCCCTAGAGGACAAACAATCCACTGACAAGAAAGCCGCTGATGAATGCTATTCGGAGGTAAAAACTTTAAGAGGCAAAGTGTCCCACCTGGAATCACAGAGCAGGAGAAACAATGTGATAATTGCATGCGTGAAGGAGGGCCTACTGGAGAGCGGCAATCCAGAGGAAGAATTGTCAGCGATCCTCCGCTACATTCTGGACCGGGATGACACGGACCCAGTGCCAGAGGTGGACAGGCACCATCGGTCCCTCCAGCCCCACCCAGGTCCTGAAGAACCACTGAGACCGTACATTGTCCGGCTACTACGATGGAGCGACCGACAACTCATTCTGAGAGCTGCAGCGGAAAAGGGGAAGAGGTTGGCAGTGAAAGGAAAAAAGTTGGAATGCAAGAATAAACACCTTCGAGTGTTTCAA